ACTATTACGTAAAACTATTATTTGGCGGAGGCTGCCACATCATTTCCGAGGGAAGGATGTTCCGCTGTCGTGGTTTGACCAGTCTAAAATTGAGAATCGGTCCGGTTTAAACGGACCGAGTTTCAATATCTAATTGTACCGATCATAACTAAAGTAATTCAACTTGTTTTGGTCTTTCATTTTTCTGTCTCCCCATGATTGAGATTGCAAATTATGTAAATCTCCCTTTTTGATGTGTTCTTGACTACAAATTTAGTTATGATGCAGTATCTAGAAGACTGACATCAGAAAGATATTTCGGTTTTGTTGTCGATTGTTGAGAGTTTTATGGTTTGGAGTGCCTATTATTGTTGACATGGCCAATGTATGTATGAAGAGCAACTGCTCAATGCGTTTCTGATGGTGAATGAACTGAAACTCGCAGTGGAGATGAAGCTTGATTAGTTGATTATTTACAAGGTACACAATAATAAACGTTAGATTAAATTATGGTAAAAAATAAATGTTTATTGTCAATGATGTGGAACTGGAATTCCTAAAAAATGCTGTACAAATTTTAAATATCTTATCGATTAATTGACATGTCATGTATAAATGCGTGTTATAATTTTTTTCCGCGCGTCACGTTTATGGTTGAACTTTATTTCAAAAACTGAATTCAACTTCAAGTGCAAATAGTTTACTCGTAGGCTTATAATGAGAACTGAATAGGTACATTCTGCTTTTACTCAGGCAGGAAAGTATAGAGAAACCAAACTGCAAAAATGTCCGTGGAAACTTATTACATCAAATGGAAACACACACACACATAACAATAGTTTTAAGCTGTTGAATCGAGAAAAGGGTAATCGGTGTACCCCACGACCGGATCAGAAATATAAAACGTTGGTCTATCGTATTTATTCAGCGGCGCATCAAGTTCAAACCTCTTTGGTAGATCCGGGTTGGCTAGAAACCATCGACCATAAGCCACCAGATCGGTCCGACCCTCTGCCACGGCCGCATTCCCGTCTTCCTTCTTGAAACCTCCCGCGGATATGAAAGTCCCATTAAAGGCTTTCCTCATTGGCATTAGCGTGTGAGGGCACTCTGAAATCTCTCCCAATGTTTTCATTCTTGCTTCAATCACATGGCAGTAGAGGATTCCGTATTTGTTCAGAGATTTCGCCATGTGAACCGCTAATGCTTGTGGGTTTGTGTCTGCTGATTCCATGTAGTCGGCGAAAGGAGAGAGCCTGATTCCAACACGATCTGGTCCAATCTCGTTGGCTACTGCTTCGACTATTTCTAATGCGAATTTGCAACGGTTTTCCAATGATCCACCGTATTCGTCTGTTCTATCGTTCACCGTGTCCTTCATGAACTGGTCTATCAGATAGCCATGTGCGCCATGAATCTCGACTCCATCGAAGCCTGCAATGCAACAAAGACAACATATAAGAGTCTTGGATAGTGTAAATGTGTAATGCTTTTCCCTTCAATCCGGAGTTTGCTTACCAGCTTCCATAGCGTTTCTTGCTGCAAGCCTAAAATCGTTGACAATGCCGGGGATTTCTTCAATACTTAGCCGTCTTGGAGGGGTAAACCTGGCTTCGTCGATGCCGTTAGAGCGGATTTGAGGCATCAATGGTTTGTCCGTACAAGAGATAGGAGCTTGCCCATTTGGCTGAAAACCTTCAAGAAGACAATAACATACTCTCTCAATACACACTAATTAAGGTTGTTGAATGATTTCTTTCACCAGCCTAGAAACATGACAAAAAGTTTCAATTAGGCAAACCTTGATTAGAAACCCGACCAACATGCCAGATCTGACAGAAGAAGACACCGCCTTTCGCATGAACAGCATCGACAATTGGCTTCCATGCCTCCACATGCTCTTTAGTCCATATCCCAGGAGTATCTGGATAACTTCAAGGGCAAAATCACACAAATGTGGGAGAGGTTTAGTTTCATATAGTCTTCAGATCTAAACCCACAAATAAAAAACGTAAACTTTGATCACAATAAGCAGAGTGAAGTACCCTTGAGCTGTATCTGAAACACCAGTGGCTTCAGTGATGAGAAGACCACCTGGAGTGGTTCTTTGAGAGTAATACAAAACAGCGTGAGGCTGAGGAACGTTTCCGTATGATCTCTGTCTTGTTAATGGAGCTAGAACAACCCTGGAACAAAAAGATCAAAAGGTTCTTCTTTTTCAGCTGGGAATTTCATCGAATAGCTAGAATGCATAAGTGATCTAGGGTAAAAAACAAAAGGAAATTTACATACCTATGAGAAAGATTGAATCTTCCCATCTTGTAAGGCTTAAGGAAAGGGATACTCTGTTTCGTTACTGCGTTTTCCATTTCCATTAGATCCGATGGTAAAATTGGATTTCTTGTCTCTGTGAATTTGTTCTTCTCTCAAAAGTAAAAACTTTCAAGTTTCCGTGAAATGTGGAAGAACACAGCACCACGTATTTATACACATTGATTAGAGTAGTAGAGAATTGGGAAAGCAAG